CCTAATTGTGTCTGGACGACTTGCAAGAGTTCTGATCACTTCATGCCCCACTTTCCAAACCAGTGAAATCATAACCCTAGATTGTCACCCAGTTTCAACCTCAAAGATTGACGATGAGTTAAATAAATGAATGGGTAGCCTATTATCCATACATCTGGAAGAATAATAATTATTTATAAATATCAAATTGCCTGAAGTTATTGACTGTGCATCCAAAGTTTAGAGTCTAATGTAAGTTGAGTACGCCTTAGACTTGCATCGACGCCACAACTGTATTGTCTCCGATGACATGCCTATTTTGGCGGCAGAAGTGGCTGCTCCATTGCGGGACGAGTGTGACTTGAACTTACATAGGTCGAGGTCCCATATATCTGATGCATTTGGAAACCATAGCTGCAAACTGGTATCATGTTAAAGGTTGACAGTTCCCATGGCAAAACGGAAAGACCAAACCCGCTGGACGAAGAAGTGCAACGTATTGCTTCATTGCTTTTAGTTGGCATATTTCACTTGCATTACCTTAGATGTGGAGCGAGCAAGTCCTTGCTAACTGATCTGTCTTTGACAATCTCACAGTTACTTCTAAAAATGTCCTCTGGACTGTGACATCTGAAATCCTAAGACATCTGAGATCGTTCCAAATAAACCATCACGCCAACTCTCATGAAACCGAAAAAGGCCAGGAATTTAAAAAAAAAATGCAGTTGTAAACAAAATAGCTTCATATGGAGAACAGCAAAGAGCATTAAGAGTGAGTGAGGGAGTGAGTTAAGCTTTAAGTCACATCGGCAATATTTCAGCCACATCGTGACTATCAATGGTTAAATATAATACATATATTGAAGCTTATGTACAAACCTGCCAACGAGGGACAGTAAAATAACTAGACTTATCACAGAAATAAATGTAAAACTAGTATTTAATCATAAAATCAATAGCACTATACATAACGGTACAATATAAAAAAGGGCTATAGATCGCCAGCAACTGAAGGTAGACCACCATGCTAGGGTCCATGGGGACTTACAGTACTTTTGCTACCTGCATGGACCCCAGCCGGATTTACATCATCCCTTCAGCTGTTGGCGATTATGACAAATTTAGCCAAAGGAAAACGAACATATATACTACTATTAAAAATGTGGCCAAAATAAATATACCTTGAAAGATGTGGTCTTACATACCCTCTCAGGGGGACAATAATTTTACATTACTTCAACCCCCTTCGAGGATACACCCACTAACAATCTCAGTTATCAAATTTATTTTACCAATTATAAAAACTATACTATATACAAAACATATCAATCAAAATTTATGCAACAATTCAATTTCTTTTAAAAAGTCAATAATTAAATGAACACTGATATTGAAAAGATCCTTTAAGGATGAAACTTTGAAATATTTATCCCTTGTGATGGAAAAATCAACAAAATCAAGCAGGACATGCTTGACGGTGATTTTTTCATCACAAGGGATACAAAATGGAGGATCCTCACCTTTTAAAAGATATTTGTGGGTATACCTGCTATGGCCAATACGACATCGCATAATGACCTCTTCAAATCTGGACTGACAGCCCAAGTAGGTGTAACCAATATTTGGTTTAATTTCATGTAATTTATTGATACCTACTTGGGAGTCCCACTTCTTTTGCATCAGATCACAAATATAAGATCTGATTACAGGTTTAAAATCAGTGTATGGGATAAGAAGTGGTGTCACAGATTTGTTGAGTGCTGCTTTTGCAGCAGCATCAGCCATTGAGTTGCCTTTGATGCCCACATGACTGGGCAACCAACAAAAGACGATGTCGTATTGGCCAGTAGCAAGTTCATTAAATAGTTCAATAATTTTGATTAAAAGTGGATTTTGACATGATATGTTATGGATAGCCTGCAGGCAAGAAAGAGAATCGGAAAATAGGATAAACTTCTGATATTTTGACTGTTTACTGATATATTGTAAAGCTGTTAAAATGGTATTGGCCTCTGCTGTGAAAATAGAACTATTATCGGGTAATCTGGAGGAGATAGTCCTGGATCCAATGACAGTGGCGCTGGCAACAGCGCCACTATCCTTGGATCCATCTGTAAAGAAAGATTTGTAAGTATTATATGTGTTTCTTAATTCATTTTCTTAATTCATGTATTTTTGTTGATAAATAAGTTGATTTGTTTCCGATTTCTTTAATTTAGTGAATGTCAGATCCACCTCGGGCTTTACCAACTGCCAAGGTGGAGAAGACAAAAGCTGTGTGGGGGCTATAGCTTCAAGATTAATTTTAGCTGCAGAAATATCAGATTGAACTCTTATTCCAAGTGGGGGGAGAACCGATGATTTTTTATTATAGAGATTTTCATAAAGGGGGTGAAAAACACAGTCATATGCTGGATTCGAGTTATTAGAGCGTAATTTAGTGACATATTGTAAGGATAATTTAATTCGGCGTTGTTTGAGGGATGGTTCATCAGCCTCAACGTACAGACTGTCGATAGGAGAAGTTCGGAAAGATCCAATACAGAGTCTCAGACCTTGATGGTGGATAGAGTCCAAAAGTTTAAGATTACTTTTGCAGGCTCCACCATAGATGATGGAGCCATAATCAAGTTTAGAGCGAATAAGTGCTCTGTACAGTTGAAGGAGGGTTTTCTGATCCCCTCCCCACTTGGAATTTGAAACAACTTTTAGGAGATCAAGGGCCTTCAGGCATTTATTTTTCAAATATTTTATGTGAGGTAAAAACGTTAAATGGTGGTAAAAAATAAGACCCAAGAACTTAGCCTCTTTTACAACTTTAATCGGAGTGCTATCTAAAATTAAAACAGGGTCTTTATGGGGTTTGTATTTCCTACAAAAGTGGAAACAATTTGTTTTGTTTTTTGAAAATTTAAAACCATTTTCTAAACACCATTTATTTATCTTATTTAGACATAATTGTAATTGTCTTTCGATAGTATGCATGTTTTTACCACGACATGATATGTTAAAATCATCCACGAATAAAGATCCATCAATGGAGTCATTTAAAACCTTAGAGAGGCTATTTATTTTAATACTGAAGAAGGTGACAGACAAAATACTGCCTTGTGGGACACCCTGATCCTGATTATAATGATCAGACAGGGTAGTACCCACGCGGACTTGAAATTGTCTGTCAGATAAAAACTTGGATATGAATTGAGGCAAACGGCCTCGCAATCCAAAGTCATGTAAGTCTTTTAAAATACCGTGCTTCCATGTAGTGTTGTATGCTTTTTCTAGATCAAAAAAGATAGACACTGCATGTTGCTTATTTACAATGGCATTTTTAACGAATGACTCCATTCGAACTAAGTGGTCAATGGTACTGCGATTTTTACGGAATCCACATTGGATATTTGTGATTAAGTTATGGGATTCTAAGTACCAGGTTAATCTGTTATTGACCATGCGTTCCATGGTTTTGCAAACGCAACTAGTCAATGAAATTGGTCGATAATTGGAAGGATCAGTATGATCACGAGCAGGTTTAGGTATGGGAATTACTATAGCATCACGCCATGAAGAAGGAAATTCTCCTGACGTCCAGATTTTATCAAAGATCATCAAGAGGGTTTCTTAACAGGATTGCGGTAAATGTTTTAAGAGTTGATAATGTATATTATCAGACCCTGAAGCAGTGTCATGAGCTTGCCAAAGGGCAGTATTGAGTTCATGAATGGAAAAGATTTCATTGTAATCCTCCCCATTATCTGAATTAAAATTAATAGGTTTCTTTTCTTGTTGCTTTTGATATTTTTGGAATTGAGGGGCATAGTTCGAGGAGGAAGAATGTTGAGCCAGAGTTTCACCAAGTTTGTTAGCAATATCAGAAGTATTGGTTAATAATTCATTCCCATTTTTAAGGTGGTGGACACTAGATTTAGAACCCTTACCTTTTATTTTCTTAATCATGTTCCATACCTTCGATATCGGCGTACGTGAATTTATCTTCGAGACATAATTTTGCCAAGTCTGACGCTTGTTTTGTTGAAATGTACGCCGTGCTTTAGCGTTTAATATTTTGAATTTATTTAAATTGTGGACCATAGGATGGCAACGGAAATATTGTTCAGCTTTTTTCCTCGCCTTCCTAGCTAGTTTGCAATCATTGCTGAACCATGGTTTACGAAAGTGAGGATTTGAAGAGGACTTCGGAATACATTCATCAGCTATTTTCTTAAGATTATCAGAGAAAAGCTTTATAGGATCAGTGGCATCAATAAAAACATCAGGATTTAGTTGGTTTGTGCAAAGGACTTCATATAAAGCCCAGTTTGCCTTAGGAAAATTCCATCTTGATGATGGAGGAATATCAGATGGTGTCACAGATTTTAAAATGGTAGGAAAATGGTCACTTCCACAGAGGTCATCGTGGACTGACCATTCAAATTCATCAAGTAAATTAGAGTCTACAACGGACAAGTCAAGACAAGAGTAAGTTCCAGTTACCGGATGTAGATACGTATGAGAACCATCATTAAAAATGCATAAATCGTTAGTTAAGAAAAAATCCTCTAGTAATTTTCCTTTGTTATTGATATCATTACTACCCCAAAGTGGGTTATGATCATTCAAATCTCCCATGATGACACATGGCTTAGGGAGCTGGTCATACAGTGCCTGAAGATCAGACTGTCGGAGAAAGTACGATGGTGGGACATACAAAGAACATAAAGTAAAGACAATATTTAATGTCACACGTACTGCAACAGCCTGAAGCGGGGTACTGAGGGGAACAGGACTGTGAATGATGCCCTGCCTCACCATAACAGAAGATCCTCCAGTTGCTTTATCACCCGGAGGTGAAAAGCAATGGTAAGAATCATACTGTCTTAAATCAAAGTGATCAATATTTTTTAGGAAGGTTTCTTGTAAACAAAATGCAGATGGTTTGAAGTCTTGAATTAAGAGCTGAAGATCATTAAAAGTGGTCCGAAGTCCTCTACAGTTCCACTGTATCAAAGTGGGAGAACAACTCATGGGGGTTCAACTGGAGATCGCGAGCGTGGGGAAGGTCCTCTCTGCTGTAACGGCAGCGGTGGAGGGACCTCCATAGCTAGAGGTTCAAAAGGGTTTTGAACCTCTAGTGGGACAGTTAAAGGTGAAGGCACCTCAATGTGTTTGAGGGCCTTGGATTCTTTTTTCTTTTGTTGTTTTTTTTCTTTTCTTGTCGAAGATACATTTGGTTTCATATAAGGAACAGATTTACGAGTTTCGTGTTTAGGAATAGAGTCTGGAAGAGAGTCGTTTAACAGCTCAGTTTGTGAAGCTGCTGATGAAGTTGGGGATTTTTTGTCAGCATGAACTTCATACAAGATGGTCTGTTCGTCAGAAATCAAGTTTATAGCCGTTTGGCATCCAGTATCCACTTTGAGTGGAGAAAAGGAGACTGCAGCAGAATAAGTCAGTGTAGAAGAGGAAGGATTAGATTCCTGATCAACCAATTTCTTGGCATCAGCAAAGATGTCATTTGTGTACTTTAGTTTTAGAACTTTTGTTTGTTTCATAAAAGCAGGACACGATTTGAAAGAGGACATGTGGTCGCCGCCGCAGTTGGCACACCTGATGTTATCAGTGCAATCAGTGCCATCATGATGTTTACTGCAGCGTGAACAAATTTGGGTGGCATGACAGGATTTTGCACGATGTCCAAAATGTTGGCAGTGAAAACACCGGAGTGGGCTGGGAATGTAAACATCCACACCAATGTTAAAGTACCCAGCTTTGACAGAGGAAGGGATCTTTGGAAGAGCAAACGTAAACAGATACGTGTTGGTCTTGATGATGGTATCGCCTTCTTTCCTGGTAAATCGTTTAACAGACGACACACCTTGTTGCTGTATTTCTGTTGCAATCTCCTCTTCAGACATATCTGAGAGGCACTTTGCACGATCTCGTACAATGCCTCTACACGAATTTAATGTTTTGTGCACTGAGACAACAATCTCAGTATTTGCAAAATGATGTGCATTGAGGAGATTTTGAGATTGTTGTCTCCTGGCACACTCCACAAGCAGTGATCCGGACCGGAGACGAGTAACATTTTTAACTGTTCCACATATACCTTCAATTGACTTTGAAACAACGAAGGGGTTGATCTCGAGGGACTCTCCATCAACTCCTCCAACAACCAGAAATCATGGCCACGAATCAATATTGTGTACAGACTCCTCATCCGAAGATGTGGCTGTATCTGTATCAACATGCCTACGTTTAGTTTTTTATCTAGAACCAGTGAATTGTTGGGTAGCCATAATGAAACAAATGAAATTCAACACCCCTGCTCCCCACCCACCATGGAGTGTCAACAGAAACGATGTTGAAGTTGAAACCAACTGCAAACACCAGGGTTACAGGGGTGCTATACTCCAGCAAAAAGGACACAGGTAGCTAAAATTGTCAAACAGGGTTAAAAGTCAGGCTGGTTCCGCCCTAGACAGTTACCTGATAACAAATAGAACCCGGAGGTCATTGATGCCAGATTGGCCCATGAGCCACCGCCTTCTGGCGTAAGACTCTAGGCAATTTATTCAATCCAAAATTGAGTATTCACACAAATTATGAACCGCCAAGACCAAAATATACAGTAAAATATAACACAGGTGTGCATATACAATATTACGCACAGGGCCTGGCATGACCAGTCGATTGATAAGACCGGGCCCATCTTACCACCCGTCTAGGCGAAGTAAGGGTCGAAGTAGTGTGTTGGGCAAAGGAACACAGTTCCAGGAACCAGTGCCCTCAACTACCAGACTCCCGTCCTTGAATTGAATAAATGTAAGATTTGGTAAAAGACAAAATATGATTTTGACTGCATTTTTTTCAGGACACCAAGCATGACTCGCATGACTCTGTATAGCCGTATTTTTGTCAGCTTTAATGTTTATCCTCGGAGGAAATGCTTACATCGACACATTCCTTATTATGTACATGTTGAGGCTTAAAACTGCTTAAATATGAAATCTATTGACATAATCGCTGTTGGCGAAGGGGTCCATGTTCTCCTCCAGACTTGGTATATCAAACAGAAACACCATCGAATTAAATATGAAAAGTCAACGCACATATCTGATTTTGAAGACAGACAACAATGCTTCCATGCCCTATAACTCCAGATGTTACACATTATTTGTATTTGCCAGGCCAGTGCAAAGACTTGGGGATAGTGTGCCGGTTTGTTGAGGGAGAAATCTGAAAAAAAACGTGCATCAGTAATGGGTCCATTAAATGTACCACCCAATCCCTGTCTCAAAGAATAACCACAATCCTTGATACAACCAAGTGGTGAGTGAGCGAGTGTGTGGGTTAATGAATGATTGAGTGAGATGTTATGCGGTTTTAGCTATGTCACGACCAAGGAATACAGAAAGGGCATCACGGACATGGGGTATCTTCGGTGACGAACGCTGTAACAACTTTATGTTGCAGAAAGTATTTGAGACAAGCGTAATTGATACCATGTGGATTCTCCAAAACTCTGCTCAAATGTTTTGTTATATCAGAAAAGAACCAAGTCCAATTATGTGAATACATTTGATTATCAACATTGTACAATAATATTCCGCAAGAAATCTGAATTATATATTTCATTCATCGACCCAAGAGCATTTGTCACTAAACGTGGTGACCATAGATATAGTCATATCTTTAACTGCAAGGTTCAGGACAATATGTCCAACATGAAAGTTAAATTCATGTGAAATGCTGAACCTTACCTTATTGATAACATCAATGCGGAAGTTGGTGGACAGTATTTTTAGGCAAGAGGTAGGCGTCTCCATAGTGTTCCCCTCCTTGCAGATCTCCGTGCGAACTGGGAACATAAAACAAAATTTAGCCAAGATGTTTAACTTAAGATCTGTGACGCATCGGTGATACTAATGATATCCGATGCAATTCCCCATTCAGGTGAACAATTGACTTGCCTTTCATGTGTTTGTGACGGATGCTACCTTTAGGGCAGGTCTCACCTTTTCGCGTACACGTGGTTTCATCACCATATGGTAGTGATTCATAAACACATGTTTATGTTACAGTCGAGATCGTACAATGGAGACTTCTCATGATTAGTGATGTTTTTTTTTCGCTTTTATCACACGTTCTCTTTTCTTGACTGGACCGTTGAAGATCCGGGTAGAGTAGGTCTTCAGCAACCAATACTTGGCGTAAAAGGCGACTATGCTTGTCGTATGTGTGTGTGTGTGAGTTAATGCTTTACGTCACATCGGCAATATTTCAGCCATGTTGTGACGAGAAGTTAGACATGAAATATACATATATTTAAACTTTATAAAAATCTGTCATCGAAGGACAGTATGATAACTAGAATATCACAGATAAGATTTAAAACTAGTTGTGGAACATTTAAAAGCATTAAGTATTAAGGAACAACACAATATAAAAATGGGCTAGAGATCGTCAGTAACTAAAGGGAGATCACCACACCAGGGACCATGGGGACTTACAGTACCTTTGCTTCCTGCATGGGCCCTGGCAGGATTTATATCACCCTACAGTCACTGACGATAATTGACCAGTTAAGCCTAAGATTAAAATGACAAAAATACTACGTTTAAAAGCCTGGCATGCATAAAAATACTTCGAATGATTTGGGACTTACATACCCTCTTAGGGGGACAATAATTTTACGCTACTTCAACCCCCCTCGAGGGTACAGCCACTAACAATCTAAGTTATTAATTAGCACCACCAATGTCTAAAAACTTATTATGGACAACAAAATTTATGAATTAATTCAATTTCTTTTAAAAAGCACAATATTAAATGAGAATGTACGTGATTAAAAAGGTCCTTTACTGTTTTTACATGATAATATTTATCCCTACAATCAAGCAGGACATTCAAAAGATACTCATGTGTATATCTTGAATGGCCAATACGACATCGTCGCATTATGACCTCTTCAAATCTGGACTGACAGCCCAAGTAGGTGTAACCGATATTTGGTTTAATTTCATGTAATTTATTGATACCTACTTGGGCGTCCCACTTCTGTTGCATAAGATCTCGGATGTAAGATCGAATCATGGGTTTATAATCAGTGTATGGGATCAGAAGTGGTGTCACAGATTTGTTGAGGGGTGCTTTTGCAGCAGCATCGGCCATTGTGTTACCAATGATACCAACATGGCTTGGTAACCAACAAAAGACGATGTCATATTGGCCAGTAGCAAGATCATTAAATAATTCGAGAATTTCGATTAAAAGTGGATGTTTTGATGACATATTTTTAATCGCCTGAAGGCATGAAAGAGAATCTGAAAACAGTATGAATTGTTTATGTTTAGCTTGATTACGGATATATTTAAGTGCTGTAAAAATGGCGTTTGCTTCTGCAGTGAATATGGAACTGTTATCAGGTAAACGTGAAGATATTGTTCTGGATCCAATGACGGTGGCACTAGCGACTGCGCCATCATCCTTGGATCCATCGGTAAAGATATATTTATAAGTGTCATAATTGTTTCTTAATTGACTGTATTCTTGTTGGTAAATTAATTCGTTAGTGTCTGATTTCTTTAGCTTTGTTAATGTAAGATCTACCTCTGGCTTTACCATTTGCCAAGGAGGAGATGAGAAAAGTTTAGTAGGAGCTATATCTTGGAGTTGAATATTAGAAGCTGATATTGCAGATTTTATTCTGATTCCGAGTGGTGGAGTAAGTGTTGATTTCTTATTGTAAAGATCCTCGTAGAGAGGATGGAATATGCATTCAATAGCTGGATTGGACTGATTAGGAAATAATTTAGTGATGTATTGTAAAGATAATTTTAAACGGCGTTGTTTAAGAGAAGGCTCATCTGCTTCTATATAGAGACTGTGAATGGGAGACGTTCTAAAAGCTCCAAGGCAAAGCCTCAGGCCTTGATGATGGATGGTATCGAGTTTTTGTAAATTACTTTTGCAGGCTCCACCATAGACGATGGAGCCATAATCAAGTTTTGAACGGATTAGTGACCTGTATAAGTGTAAGAGAGTTGTTTGATCCCCTCCCCACTTTGAATTAGAAACTACTTTCAATAAGTCGAGTGCCTTCAGGCATTTAGCTTTTAGGTATTTAATATGTGGAAGGAAAGTTAAGTGGTTATCAAAAATAAGTCCCAAGAACTTGGCCTCCTTTGATAGGAGTGCCATTCAGAAATAGTTCAGGGTCCTTATGTGGCTTATATTTTCTGCAGAAATGTATACAATTAGTTTTTGATTTGGAAAATTTAAACCCGTTTTCCAAACACCACTTGTTAATTTTATTAAGACATAATTGTAATTGCCTTTCTATTGTGTGCATATTTTTACCACGACAAGATAGATTAAAATCATCCACAAAAAGTGATCCATCAACTGAATCATTTAAAACTTTTGACAAACTGTTAATTTTTATACTGAATAAAGTGACAGACAAAATACTGCCTTGTGGGACACCCTGATCCTGATTATAATGATCAGACAGGGTTGTACCCACTCGGACTTGAAATTGCCTGTCTGTTAAAAACTGGGATATAAATTGAGGCAGACGGCCTCGTAATCCAAAATCATGAAGATCTTTTAAAATACCATGTTTCCATGTTGTATCGTATGCTTTTTCTAAATCGAAAAAGATCGATACAGCATGTTGTCTATTTACAATGGAATTTTTAACGAACGATTCTAAATGCACTCAGTGATTGATAGTACTTCTGTTCTCCCGGAAACCGCATTGTATATTGGTAAGAAGATTATTTGTTTCCAAGTACCACACTAATCGATTATTTACCATGCGTTCTATAGTTTTACAAACACAGCTAGTGAGAGATATAGGTCGGTAATTTGATGGATCAGAATGATCTCGCCCAGGTTTGGGAATGGGGAT